TGTTACATCTTTTTTCCAATTTTCAATACTAAGTTTCGTTCGCCTAAAAATACGATTCGAAAATGCAGGTTTTGAAAGGTTTTATTGTTTGATAGTTTCGCGCTAATTAAAATGACGTCATCAATAGTTGTTAACCAATAGTCTTTTGCTTTACATCTGATTCAAGATAATGATGCATGAAAATAATTAATCGTTCAATGAAAAAAATCGTTAGAAAACTGGTTGTTACATTTTCATAGAGATTTCCTAGTGATGAAATTTAAAATGGTCGATTTAAGAATAGTGAATGTGAAATTTTTATACGAAATTGGTATACGGAGATTTAAAAAAAATAATCGATGCGAATGAATCTTAAAGTGGATCATTTATTTTTTAAATCTTATTCTCACTACTTTCGAATATTCGGCTCGTGTGCTTCGCACCGCATTTCGTAGTCGAGTGAAACTCGATTACCATCTAGTTTATATTTTGTTTTCTTGAGAAGTGAAACTCGATAAAATATTCCATTTAGGATACATGAATTTTCTGCTCCATCACATACATATTTTAAGTATTTGTTTATAAAAATATATGACTTGAGAATCATCTACGAATCCACTACTATAAATAAACTAGACTGAACTTCATTTTCAATTTTTAGGCAAAATAATCATTTTACGCAGATCATTTCTAGGGATTCGTGCAAATGTCATGTTGCATAGCACCATTTGAAATAACTGATTTAAAAGTAAAGCTATTTTAGTTGTGAGTTACCTAACAAAACATTTTCATAGCAATTTTCTACGGTTGACTTTGCTTATGTGAAGATTCATGATTATTGGACAACGCCTCTTTTCTATTCAATCTTTGTCTGATATCATATGCTTTCTTTACGATCTCATCATTATTTGTTCACTAATCAGTTTTAGTCTTCTCAAGCTTACTATTGATCTCTCTATCACACTGCAAGTTTTTATTTCACGATCTTTTGTTTTAGCACATCAAAAATATTATGGTCATTATATTCCTATTCGCCTTTACTTGGGCTATCCGCTTGTTTTCTATTTCTACGCAATATCTTTTATCGATAGCGACAAATATTTGATAGCCTACGTGCAACATGCCTCTTAAATTCTTATGATATGTCTATGCATGCTGTATTATCATTTTGTTTAATAGATATTTTGTTTAGTTGAATAATATTAATTCAAATTATTCTAAAATAGCACTGCACAAAAAGACGTGTGTCTGTGTTTTTTTAACAACAATATCGAAGGTCGGTACAATTATTTTGCGGTGTATTGTCATTGTTATGGAAATTTTTATTCTAAAATGTGTGTCTTGAATCAATTGACAGATCAGTGACAAAAGTTGACTCTCGTTTACGAAGAATGAAACCATTGTAATAAGAATGACTATTATGCCAACTGTAAATATGATTTTATCTGTGCTTTCCAAAATCATGTGAATGCTCATGTTCATTCGTAAGACATGCATGGAATTTTAATACATCTTATGAATAAGTGTAATACGAATAAAAGTAAACAGAGGATAGATTTGACCCGTGCATTCGATAGAGCCTTATTTGTTGTGTATGAGTCACCTATTTTCCCCACTGCCAGGGTTTCCATTTAAGAGAAAATTGAGATTTCAAAATATATGAAAGGTCCGAGATTTCTTGGCAAAAAGAATTATGCGTAAAATGTTTTTACATGGTTATCATATATGAAACGAATCATTTTCAATCGGGGAATCCAAGAGACATGTACAGAATTTTACTCGCATGTATTATTCATGCATTTTCGGGAGCGTAATGGGATTGCTATTATTAAAAACGCATATTTTTTTTAGAAACGCGCTTGATAGCTAAGTTCTTTTTAACATTGTTTCGCGATAACAATGAAATGTCTAACAATGTCTCTCAGTCGAGAGGAGGCGATAGAAGTAAAAGAAGATGAAATAATAGCATATTTTCTCTGAATATCTATCATATTAATCTGTTGTGACATTTTTTCGGTAAAATGCTATTTTCTTGCGAACGACACTTAGCTAACAGCTCAACTTTTTACCATAGATGTACCATATAGGCAGTCAAAAATGGTAAAAAAAATCATTGATTAATCTCTTATCGTGACATTTAATGCGACAATAGCTGCCAATCTGTTTTATTTTTACTTTTTTGTTTCATCGTGAACATTTTTAAAATTAATTTTTTAATCAAAATATTTCTCGCTCTTTGCTCTATCAAACACAAAAAAGAAATTTGAGTTAGCTTGTAAGTAGTCTTTAGTAGTTACAATTTAATCTGTTGTGACAAAAAATGGTCAAAGTGTATGTTTTCATATTTTTGCAAGATTTGATCAGGAAATCAAAATCGAAATTAAGATTACTTTATATAGTTAAAAAGAGGAGAACCTGAGCGGCCAACTTCCGTAAAAAAATCTATTTATCCAGTCACAATTGTAGGATATACAAAGGAATTTCTGTCGATAGATCCTGCCAAACAGCTTTCGTAATGATCTTTTATGCTTGAAAAATCCTTACCCCGCAAATAAAAACCTCGATAATTTTATGGTGAGTAGGACGGACTGAATGGAGCGTTTCAACAAAAAAATTGTCCAAATCGATTGAGTAGAAGTTGAGTTATAAGATTTTTCGTGTTCGCAGAGCTACCGTATAATGTCAGCACAATTCACTGATATGCACAATCGTGGTTGTGCTAGACGAAGCCTATGAAAACAAATTTTGGTGAATGCTTTCTAATTGTAGAAAATTTCAAGCTATGATAAAAAAAAACTTTGATTTAAAAACAAAAATAAGATCTTTATCATGGTATCCTATTCAATGCATTGTCGTTTTTCTTCTATTATTCTCTTTGATATTTATGTCAATACGGTCTTTTTTGCCCAAGCTATTGAATTTATCATGAATCAGTAATCGATATTTTACTAGTATGATGCATATTGTACTAGTCTAAGTCATGCTTCGAAGCATAGACGCGTCATATCATGTAACGTACGATACACAAACTATAAAAACATCAATATTGTAAAAGGTGTTTTATAGTGTACATAAACAAGAAATAAAATATTTTTCACGTGATTTTCGTCAATCATTTCGAATGTAAGCACACTATTTTGATTGTTTTGAAGGTCAAAAACCGTTTTGATTGTGTTAGGGAACTGGTGTTGTCGAAATTATTTACTCGTTCATCAACGCAAACTCATGAAAAAGATAAAAAAGATGTTGGATCACCGTCGAGAAGTCATCGAAGTGATAAAAAGGTTGTTCGCCATGCTCGACATCGATATGAACGCCCGTCAACACTTCATACTGAGATAGCAATAAAAAACGTTCGAACACATGCGCAAAGTACAACCACATCAGTTTTTATATCTCTTATTTAATTAAAATGATTCTTTTATTTTTGCTTTATCTAATTAAAGATGAAGCTGTGTTACAGAATGCAAGATACACAAAGTTTCTGTCTGATACATTACAATTACATAATTATTATCGTGCACGTCATTCAGCAGCTCCATTGACACTTAGTCAACGCTTGAGCTATATAGCTCAAAAATATGCTGACTACCTAGCAGCAACATCCAAATTTGAACATAGTGGAAATACATTTGGAAATGAAACTTTAGGAGAAAATCTTTATATGCAATGGATTTCTCATGGTAGAGTACCGGTTAGCGCACGAGAGGCAGTAAAAAGTTGGTATGATGAAATCAGCTTATACAATTTTAAACATCCATATTATTCGGAAGAAACAGGGCATTTTACACAGCTAATATGGAAATCAACACAAAAAATGGGTGTAGGAGTTGCTTTATCAGCTGATGGACGAGAAGTTTATGTAGTCTCAAATTATTATCCAACAGGAAATATTATAAATCCCGGTTATTTTGAAGTAAATGTTTTACCAGGCAAATCTTAATTTTTTGTTAAAATATTTTTTATTTCTTCAACGTCAAATTTTTAAATAAAAAATTCGAATAGAAAAATAATTTTATTTTTGTTTTCCATAATACGATTGATTTCATTGAATACATTGATAGATATTGATAGTGTTCTTATTCAAAGTTCCATTCGATTTTAAACAAGCAAGAAGAACAGTTGGTCGTTTCCTTGACTAATTGTTTTTGTTACTGTTCACCCTTGTTATCGAACTGTTTCAATCGATAGTTCATTATGGGCCAATAGAATCTCTCGAACTTGATAGGAAACTGTCACATATGTATATAATTTTATTAAGAGAGTTGTTTTTACGCATGGTTATCAATAGATGTATGCATCAATAATTCGTTACTTCTGCTTATCTGACTTGCACTGAATGAGTTTGTCGCATATTAGCCAGAACGATTAAGATTTAATCCAAGTGTTCGTTTATCTATTCATAAATTGAGAAGTTTGTATTATTGTAGGGTCCTAATCGCATACTTGTATTGATGATTTTTGTCAATTTTCAACAGAGTTGCACCTTTTGTTTTTACTTAGATACACAAGACGTATCGTTCGAAAACAAACCATAAAAGCAATAGCTTTTGATTTCTGTTTGTATATTTCAACTCATAATCGAAAAAAAAATATTGACATAGATCAAGTTGTATCTTCAAGTTTGAATACGTAAAAATTGTGGTTTGCCATTAAAACTTATTATACCAGTTGTTCATTTTACGCTTGATTGCAAAGAAGCATTTTCATGAAATGAATGACTTAATAGTTTCATTCAACTAATAAATAAAAGAAGAGAATTTATTCCATTCATTGATATTTCTTATCTACATTCAATATCAGGAAAACAAACGACTACATCAAGTGACATGAATGATACTTCAAGATATGTTTTCAAGTCAAGAAAATTTATATGCCAATTGAAACATACATACAGAATTTCTCTATTGCTGCTATCAAAATTTATTCGCCAGCAAAGATTGCCAAACCAGTTTTGAACATCCATGTAGCCAGTTGAACCAAACAAAAAGAGAGTATGTTTAGTCTGCTGTGAACAAATTACGTCCAAGAAAAGGCGATCCATTAGAATGTTTTACTTGACAAAAGTAGAGCTCTGAAGAAGCGATTACCTTTTTTTTATATAAAATTCATCAAATTTAACTTGTTCCATGATAATTTATTTTGAATTTTTTGCATTCATGAATGAATTTCATTAGACAAGATTGCAATAAATAATTTAAAAAGCATACAAGTTATTGATCATATTTACAATGCCTAGTCATTAAATTTTAATCTCGACTACAATGTAAAGATCGTTATTTCTTATTAAGAAATAGATTATTTCAGTTTTATGACTAATAAAATTTAATTTATACAAGTAAAAGCGATATGATGGTTCTCTATTTCAATACATACGACTGCTCATGTCGTCTGACATATAGATGATTATTTTACGAGTATTAACGAAATAGAGTGCTCATCAATAAATAGTAGTGTTGATATTATCAGAGAAAAACAATTACAATTACTTGTTTGCTTTTTAAATCTTTGGGTTTGACGCACAAATCTAATTAATTTAAAGAAAAAATTTTGCCGTATCAGAACTATCCTGGTTGATACCTCACATCCGAAGTGTTTTATGCTCATCTCACCAACATTTATTGTAGGTCAAATGCATCGTTTGCTCTATGAACGATGCATTACATTTTATCACATATAAGATGAAAGACCTACAAGAAATCTTGTTTTTTTTTGTACTTTTATCTTGATCTATTATATAACTATTATAATATGCGGCTTCGCGGTTTAGATATATTTTAGTCACTTGAAAATCTGTCTGTAAAACGATTTTTCTGTTAATAAAGAGTTCATTTGCACAATTTGTGAAAACACTTCAATGAATACTGAGAAATTATGTCAAAATTGCCATACAATTAGATTGTTTTTGAACGCTTTGTTTGGATGAAACCTAGCATTATAATGGTATTCTTATTGTTTTGTGTAGGAAACTTTTATTGGTTGATATTAAAATTTTTGCATTGTCGAAGCATACACCATAAATTTCTTAGGAAACAAACACTATAAGATATACTCCGTAGAAAGCATTGATGTTATGCATCATCATCTATGCATTTTACGGTTTTGTGAAACACGATCTGAAAGGAGTGTTAAAGTATATAGTGTCAAAATTTGGGGGGGGGGGGGGGGGGGGGGGGGGGGGGGGGGGGGGGGGGGGGGGGGGGGGGGGGGGGGGGGGGGGGGGGGGGGGGGGGGGG